GGGGGGAATCATCAGGGATCGTGAGACACTAATTAATGATTGCTGACACTGTTTGTTGATCTGGGCATAATTAGGGGTAGTTGCAGCTTACCCAGCTAAATAGGTTGTGTTACAGTTTATTTAATGAGACATTTTATTGCACTGTAAAATTATAGGTCACCTTATTCGTAGTGTTTCAACTTCTTTAGTGTTATTGTTGGGACACTATTATTAGCTCGTTTTGACGGTTAATATGTTCTACCACTCACAATCACACATCAAAGGATCTTCTTTTGTTGCGTTATTCGGCCTTTGTTGTTACAAAAGGCTGTGATACATTTTATGGTATTTTGTACTCTGTTCCTGGAGCCTTCCAAGAAGAGAGAGAGTGAATACACTGTAAAATGTAGTTCTTCTTCTCCAGGTAGCACAATATTGTACTATCATCAAAGTACATCACAGTGAAAATTATTAGCTAGGGAGTTTCATTAAAAAATAAATATATACACTTGATATAAATCTGCCTATTGTATGATGCGAGAGAAAGGAACACAGCACAAAGCATCAGTGTTTGCATTCACTAACACAAGTGCTATTTTCTCTGACTACAATATATTGATTGATTTATTTTTAAATATGCTTCAGTTCTTAATTTTCAAGGTACTATAAAAAAAATCTTAATGAGTTCTCCAGAATCCCAGGGTTTAATTCTCTGATGTACTGAGCATTCTCCTTCTGTAGAGAACTGAGAAAGCTCAGCATCCTGCAGGGTTGAGTCTTTACTCTGTGTAAGCTCGAAAGCTTGTCTCTCTCAACAACAGATGCTGGTCCAGTGGAAGGTATTAATTCACTCATCTTGTCTCTTTGCTGAGAAACAACCAATTAGTTTTCCCAACAGGTTCAAGTTTGTCAAAAGAATGTTACTTTAATGATTTTTTTCAAATGTTTGGTCTCTTTTTTCAGGAAAACAGCAAGTTAGTTCCAAAGTTGCCTCACCCTACCTCCTTTTTGAAAGGTTACAGGGACAGTTTAAATACATTCCAATTAATCTGAGTTTAAACTTTTTAATGTAATTTTCATGTACAGTGATCCCAGTAGTTTGTGAAATGCTTTGGAATTCCCATGAGGGTGAAATGCACTACATAAATGTAAACTATTCTATAATTAATGCAATCAGTTGTTATTACAGCCATCTGTTATAGCAATCAATACAAAATACATTGTGAAGAGAAGCAATAAAATGTTCAAGGAAAACCCAAACCTACAATACACTTGTTACAAGATTTTTAGGAGGAATATAACAGCATGGGAGTGGTAATGGTGATTGTCAGTCCCAATACATAAATAAAAATCAGCAGGTAAGCCAATTACCAATTCAAAATGAATCACATCATAAATATCTTCTTAATTTGTATTAGGGACTTGATCTTGTTCCTTCTTGGGTAAAACACACTCACAGAAATCAATTATCCAATTTTTGCAGTTCAAGTAACTTCAGTGGGTTTGCAGGGGTGAAAGTGAGGGCAGGATTTGTCTGACTTATTTTTTATTTTTTGTCTCAGCCAGGATTGCAGGATAGGGTACTAACACCTTAAATGAATTTACCACAGTTGATTATTATTTTGAGTTCACAGCTCTGCATTAAAATATTTGGGCAGTGGATCTCAAAATAGATATTTCCTAAGTGCAACGGAACTATCGTATACATTATTCAAGTTAAAGAAAGTACCTAATTCTGCACAAACCTGCACCCAGGGTCCCGTGGCAGCAGTTGCGCTTGCCTCCCCTGGCTTATTATACCTGCCACCCATGCCTCTCTACTTGTATTTGATATTCCCCTGTTGATACAACCAATGATTGCATTAGCCCTTTTAGCCACAATACTGCACTGGCAGTTTATGGTCAGCTGAGTATCTCAAGTCTTTTTCAGAGTCACTGCTTCCCAAGATAGTCCTCCACCCTGTAAGAACGGCCTGATTCTTTGTTCCTAGCTGTATGACTAGTAGAAAAACACCTTCTTGTGGGAATTAACCATTTACAATTACAATTTCAGACCTGCCAGTTTTTAATCCATTGATATGTGCCATATTGATTTTAATATGAAGTCTTACCTCAACATTCATAATTAATACTAAATCTCATTTTAAGGTGAGCATGCTTCAAGGCTTCTATTGTTGTGCATCCTTATTCAATGTTCTTCTGATGTATTATCATATCTATGTAAGAACGCAGTTGTTTTCAGTTATTAAATGCACATCTAGCATCCTTTTATTGGACTGTACATATAAAGGTTAGAAATATGTACTCTAAAGAGTATAATACTTTTCTTGATATACATGGAAAGGTCTTTCTATGATAATTTCAATACTATATAGAGTAATAGTACTATAGAAACTATAGTAAGAATTTAATAAGGTTGGGTTCACTTACATTTATTTAATTTAATGAAAAATGCATCTCATTTACATTTGGGGAAGAAATGTGTGAAAAAATTCACCATGGTGGGTTTTCAGAATTAATGAACATCCATTTTTGAGATTTGGCGTAAAATTTTCAAGCATACATAGATCCTCAAAGGTATTTAGGTATTTAACTTCTGTTGATTTCAATGGAAGTTAAGCACCTAGATCCTCAAAGGTATTTGGGTCTAAGTGACTAGGGACCAGATCTTTAGATGTCTATGTACCTAACTCCCACTGAAATCACTAGAAGTTAAGCACTCTTTAAAATCCCACTATAGAAGCCTAAGTCCCATTTTCAAAAGAGACTTAGTCACTTAGGCACCGAAATCTCATTGAAAGTCACTTTAGAGCTTTTGATAATTTCATTCTTTATCCATTTTAGCCACTAACGCAAACTCTCTATGGTATAAGAGTTCTAAGTACCTTTATTTTTAAAAGACTGTTTCTAGTTAATAATCTACTTAAATTTATAATTCAATATCTGCATAAAAAGAAAGCAGTAATTTGGATTGCAAATATTCATAATTTAATGTTTTCATTAAGCTGGTAGTTTTGTAAGTCATTTAAAGGGCTACAGAACTAATTTTCTAGCGTAATCTTCTACCTAAGGGTATGTCTATAGTTCAATAGTTAGCCATGTCTTAACAGCTATGAATTAACAAATATTAACAGAATTAGCAGCAGGGGCGGGGGCTTTGGGAAGGGGTGGAGTGGAGGTGAGGCTGGGGCAGAGCAGGGGCAGGGCCTTTGGAGTGGGGGCGAGACTGGGGCAGACAAGGGGTGGGAAGAGATGGGGCTGGGGTGGAGCAGGGGCTGGGGAAGGGGGCCATGGGGAAGAGGCAGAGCAGGGGCTGGAGCAGCACGCAGCTGCATAGGGCACCAGGAACTTGGTGACCAAAATTTCCTGGTGCCTATGCAGCTGCGTACTTTGCGTATGGGTAGGGACGGCCCTGTATACATTCTAGTGTGGACAAGATACAAGTATTTGTTCCTTGGTACTTTACGGTTCAGTACAGCTAGCAATACATGTTTGGGTACACAATTAACAACAAACATTAGTGTTTGCACTAGAATTGTAGTACTACCATTTTTGTTAACATTCAGGGGCGTGCACAAGAATTTAAATTTGTCCGCTTTTGGTGGGTCATGTTCTGTGCCCCCACTGTGGCCCTAAGGGCAGAGGAGCTCTGTGTCCCTGATGATCATTGGGGGAAGGCGTGCCCCTGCTTGCCCACCATTAACATTTGCTAATTAATGTGTTAAAAAACACTGAAAACTTCAAATGTAGGCATATCCTGAATGTATCATCCATGAACCTTTTGATCTGATCTGCTACACTGTGACAAACAGCTTTGAAGATAAGCAGCCTTTTTAATAAAAGAAAATACAGGAGAAGAAAAACAAACAGAAGTATACAGAGAAGACAATACTGTATACAATAGAGTTTCCGTGTGCCCAGTACTCAGGTATGACAAGATTTGTATCTTCCTCTTAATGAACTAACATCACATTATTAATGATTTATACATGTATATATGTAACCATTTGCTAGCACAATGTGGGTCTCTGTCCCCATATAAGAGGATAAGAACCTAACATAGCTGCCAGCTAGAACAGTTTAGAGTGCACAGTGTAAATTACAGTGCCATCACTGTCCTAGTCCTGCAGCTGGATCTTCATGGGTGGACCCTTCCGTCTGTGTGGTGTCTCACTGAAGTGAATGAGCTCTGCATGGGCTTAGGTGTCTACCTGCACAGATCCAAATGCAGTATCAGGGCCTGTAAGAACTGGAAGAACTTACCACAGAAATTTGCAAATGCCATTTTGGATGTCCTCTTTTGGAGGAGGGGTTCTCTTTGCTTTTGAAGCTTTGTTTTTAATCCCAAATGCCTGTGCGATACTGTTAGGTATTTTGAATACAAATATGTTTAAAGCTCCAAATCCTCAGATTTATTTATTTCAGTTTAGATGCATCCACATATTACTCCGATCACATGCACAGTTATTAGAAAGCTACTAAAATCCCACCCAATTTCCAAAAGCAATACTAAATTCTCTTAAATGCCCTCAACCTTTCCCCCACAGCTGAACTATCACCAGCATCCAACTACTTATTCCTCCTACTTAAGCTTTTGGAGAACAAATGGACTTTGCTGTGTGACTAGAAAGTCAACACATTTAGACTCTTAATTGAAATAGGTAGGACATTTCACATATGGGGACCTCATCAAGAATATCCTACCTCCATCCCCCTTGATCAAATCAGGATTTTTTTTATTTTAACATCTCAGAAGAGGTCAGTGCTGAAGGATCAAACAAGGAGAAAGGCTGTCTCTTTAGAAATCAGGATTCAATCCACTTGAAGCTTTTTAAAGTTAAAACATGTACATGCAAATGAACTGGAAGCCAGTGCACATAACAGTATTGGTGTGATATGTTCACTGTAAGAAATGTATCCTAACAAATGGACGAGCACTTTCTGGCCACCCAAAGCCAGTTGTCAATTCAACACAGCTAATCTGTTGCTAATCTGAACAACAAAAATGCATTCAAACTCACCCACATAAAGCAGTTGATATCACCCTGCAAATTCCTCCAGTGATTCCATGGAGATGCTTGTCAGAAAGAGCAAATAATTGGTTAAGAAGACTCTACAAAAATAAGCAAAAATAAAAATCTTGTACATTATAGAGGTAATGTATTAGTTCTAGTCAGTGGCAGAAATAACATCAGATGCTTCTTTAATATTCAATGTGCTTGTTCCTAAAAAGTCAGTCCATATTTAGAATTTTTTAATAGCTCTGGAGCAAATCCAAAACAGCAGCTGGGATTTTATGACTCCTGTGGGACCCTGCAAAATCCAGCAGTCAATCCCAAGGAATTTTTACTCTTTAGAATCATAGAATATCAGGGTTGGAAGGGACCCCAGAAGGTCATCTAGTCCAACCCCCTGCTCGAAGCAGGACCAATTCCCAGTTAAATCATCCCAGCCAGGGCTTTGTCAAGCCTGACCTTAAAAACCTCTAAGGAAGGAGATTCTACCACCTCCCTAGGTAACGCATTCCAGTGTTTCACCACCCTCTTAGTGAAAAAGTTTTTCCTAATATCCAATCTAAACCTCCCCCACTGCAACTTGAGACCATTACTCCTCGTTCTGTCATCTGCTACCATTGAGAACAGTCTAGAGCCATCCTCTTTGGAACCCCCTTTCAGGTAGTTGAAAGCAGCTATCAAATCCCCCCTCATTCTTCTCTTCTGCAGGCTAAACAATCCCAGCTCCCTCAGCCTCTCCTCATAAGTCATGTGTTCCAGACCCCTAATCATTTTTGTTGCCCTTCGCTGGACTCTCTCCAATTTATCCACATCCTTCTTGTAGTGTGGGGCCCAAAACTGGACACAGTACTCCAGATGAGGCCTCACCAATGTCGAATAGAGGGGAACGATCATGTCCCTCGATCTGCTCGCTATGCCCCTACTTATACATCCCAAAATGCCATTGGCCTTCTTGGCAACAAGGGCACACTGCTGACTCATATCCAGCTTCTCGTCCACTGTCACTCCTAGGTCCTTTTCCGCAGAACTGCTGCCTAGCCATTCGGTCCCTAGTCTGTAGCTGTGCATTGGGTTCTTCCGTCCTAAGTGCAGGACCCTGCACTTATCCTTATTGAACCTCATCAGATTTCTTTTGGCCCAATCCTCCAATTTGTCTAGGTCCTTCTGTATCCTATCCCTCCCCTCCAGTGTATCTACCACTCCTCCCAGTTTAGTATCATCCGCAAATTTGCTGAGAGTGCAATCCACACCATCCTCCAGATCATTTATGAAGATATTGAACAAAACCGGCCCCAGGACCGACCCTTGGGGCACTCCACTTGATACCGGCTGCCAACTAGACATGGAGCCATTGATCACTACCCGTTGAGCCCGACAATCTAGCCAGCTTTCTACCCACCTTGTAGTGCATTCATCCAGCCCATACTTCTTTAACTTGCTGACAAGAATACTGTGGGAGACTGTGTCAAAAGCTTTGCTAAAGTCAAGAAACAATACATCCACTGCTTTCCCTTCATCCACAGAACCAGTAATCTAATCCTGTGGAGGATTCCCAAGGATTAGGACTAGAGTGTGATGGCACTATGAATTAGGTGGAAACTAGGTGGTTGTAAACTGAAGACAAAAACATGGCAATCCACTACAAATTTGTATCACTGAAACGGAATTCTGCAGAAGTCTGACAATGGCAAAGAGCAAATTGCAGGATCAAAAAGGGCAATGTTAGGGCTCAATGGAGCTTTGTTCCATCCATAATGTGGAAAACCCATTGGAAAGGCAAGGAATTAGTGGTAGTGGAGGAGACCCAGTGATTTGGAATCTGGATGGTACAAAAGGATCTTCAAGTTTTATTCCATTTATTCTCCTGAGTACACAAAAATGAGGAAATGGGTTAAATAGAAATTAAAAGGTACAGTGCCAAAAGTGAAATCCCTGTAAACTGCAGAGAAACTTTTTTAAAGACACCATAAAAAAGGCTCAACTTAAATATATACCTTAAATTTAAAAACATAGCAATAGGACAAAAAAATACCACCGTGGCTAAACAACAAAGTAAAAGAAGCAGTGAGAGGCAAAAAGGCATCCTTTAGAAAGTGGAAGTTAAATCCTATTGAGGAAAATAGAAAGGAGCATAAACTCTGGCAAGTGAAGTGTAAAAATATAATTAAGAAGACCAAAAAAGAAATTGAAGAACAACTAGCTAAAAACTCAATAGCAAAAACATTTTAAAGTATATCAGAAGCAGGAAGCCTGCTAAACAACCAGTTGGGCCACTGGATGTTCGAGATGCTAAAAGACCACTCAAGGACAATAAGGCCATTGTGGAGAAACTAAATGAATTCTTTCCATCGGTCTTCACGGCTGAGGATGTGAGGGAGATTCCCAACCCTGACCCATTCTTTTTAGGTGACAAATCTGAGGAACTGTCCCAGATAGTGTTATTAGAGGAGGTTTTGGAAAAAATTGATAAATTAAACAGTAATAAGTCACCTGAACCAGATGGTATTCATCCAAGAGTTCTGAAGGAACTCAAATGTGAAACTGCAGAACTACTAACTCCGCTATGTAACCTATCATTTAAATCCGCTTCTGTACCAGATGACTGGAGGATAGCTAATGTGACACCAATTTTTAAAAAAAGGCTCAAGAGGCAATCCTGGCAATTACAGGCCGATGAGCCTAACTTCAGAACCAGGCAAACTGGTTGAAACTATAGTAAAGAACAGAATTATCAGACACATAGATGAACATAATTTGTTGGGGAAGAGTCAACATGATTTCTGTAAAGGGAAATCATACCTCACCAATCTACTAGAATTTTTGAAAGGGTCAACAAGTGTGTGAACAAGGGGGATCCAGTGGACATAGTGAACTTAAATTTTCAGAAAGACTTTGACAAGGACCCTCACCAAAGGCTCTTAAGCACAGTAAGATGTCATAGGATAAGAGGGAAGGTCTTCTCATGGATCAGTAAAGAAACAAAAGGTAGGAATACATGGTCAGTTTCCAGAGTGGGGAGAGGTAAATAGTGGTGTCCCCCAGGGATCTGTACTGGGAGCAGTCCTATTCAACATATTCATAAATGATCTGGAAAAAGCAGTAAACAGTGAGGTGGCAAAATTCGCAGACAATACAAAACTACTCAAGATAGTTAAGTCCCAAGCAGATTGCAAAGAGCTACAAAGGGGCCAAGGGATGTTGTGAAGGCCAAGACACTAACAGCATTCAAAAAAACTAGATAAATTAATAGAGGATAGGACCATCAATGGCTATGAGCCAGGATGGATAGGGATGGTGTCCCTAGGCTTTGTTTGCCAGAAACTGGGAATGAGGGACAGGGGATGGATACCTGATGATTACCAATTTGTTTATTCCCTCTGGAGCACTTGTCATTGGTCAATGTTGGAAGAAAGGACACTGGGCTAGATAGACCAGTATGGCCATTCTTATGTTCTGGGTGGGCTTGAACGCATACACTTAAAGTGGAGAAATTTCTTCCTGAAACAGGAAAGGAGCCTGTAGCCTTGAAATAATGTTTTCAAAAGCACCAAATGACATTTGCAAACAGGACTCAGGCTCCTAAGACACTTTTATGTGATTTTAAAAATGTTGCTCTTGGTGTATACTAGAATTAATGGCAGAGGGAGAAATATAGCCCACATGTTGTCTTTACAAATTAGAGCCTAATCCTTCCCCTACTGAAATCAATAGTAAACTTTTTTCAATTTTCCACTGACTTCAATGGGAGCAGGACTGGGCCCATAGAAAATACACAGAAGAATATGATCTCATGCAATAGGCAACTTTTACAAAAAATATATGGCAGGTGAAAGTAGGTACCTTAGGGACTTATATGCAAAGTTGAAACTGTCTGTACGTGCTTGGACTTCTGTTTTGTAGCCTATTGGGATTCTGTTTAGCATTTTAAAAAAATCAAAACGAACTAAAACTGAAGCATAGTAGGGCCCTTCATTTTTTTTTTTTAATTTTTCCTGTGAATTTATCAGTGTTTATTTTGATGATAACAAAAACAGGTGAAAATCAGTAGAAAAAAATTAATAATTTTTCTGGATAAATATTGGGGTTTATTTTGGTGGACAGAAGGACAGGGAAAAAAGTATTCAGTAGATTAATGTTTTGGTGAATGGAATTCAATGTAGTTTGCTGCAGAACTAAAACAGAACTCAAAACACAATGCCACCTCTATTTAAGAAAACAATGTATCTCTAATCCCTAAATAAAACTTTTCATTTGAATAAACAGTTTACTGTTGTAGACTTAGAACTATAAGCCTATAAGTATTTACATTTAATAATTGGACCACATCATTTGCAGCGCATACATTCAAACTTCATCCTTTTCTCCTGTTTTTGTTTTTTTAAATTTTCAAATACTTCCTTGTATTCTGAAACATATTCTGATACAGATTTTCATTTTCTTCCCATTTTAGTGTGTCAGATCTGTAAACCAATTTATTTGAGCATGAGCTTTCGTGAGCTACAGCTCACTTCATTGAGCTGTAGCTCACGAAAGCTCATGCTCAAATAAATTGGTTAGTCTCTAAGGTGCCACAAGTACTTCTTTTCTTTTTGCGAATACAGACTAACACGGCTGTTACTCTGAGATCTGTAAACCGTTATCTGTTAAGAGCATGAAACGTGTACATGGTGGGCATGAGATTCATCAGTACTCTAAGATCCGTATGCACTTCAGAGCTTGTGTGCGTATCTGTTTGTTTATTGTGTGTATCTTCTAAACCAGTGGCTCTCAACCTTTCTAGACTATTGTACCCCTTTTAGGGGTCTGATTTGTCTTGCATACCCCCAAGTCTCACCTCACTTAAAAACTACTTGCTTAAAAATCAGACATAAATATACAGAAGTGTCACAGCATAGTATTACTGAAAAATTGCTTGTTTTCTCATTTTTACCATATATTTATAAAATAACTCAAATGGAATATAAATATAGTATATAGAGCAGTATAAACCAGCCATTGTCAGGATGAAATTTTAGTTTGTACTGACTTCGCTAATGCTTTTTATGTAGCCTGTTGTAAAAATAGGCAAATATCTAGATGAGTTGATGTACCCCCTGGAAGACCTCTCAGTACCCTCAGGAGTACATGTACCCCGGTTGAGAACCACTGTTCTAGAATAATACGTAGCCTTGCTGAAACAGGTAGCTTTGCATATACACAAAGACTATTGTATTCTCATAATATATATATCTCATGCAAGGTATTGTATTTTCATAATTAAACAAGTTTTTTTATATATATTTGAATGATAAAAAAGTAGGGTGAAAATCGAAAAAAACCTGAATAATACTTTTTGTAAAACCCAGGGTTTTTTTTTTTTTAAATAAAAATTGGTTTAAACTGAAAACAAAGGGGCTTAAGCATAGTACAGATGAAAGCAAGATACCTTTGGAAGATTGTTTACATTAGCAGGATGAAAGCTAAGAAATATTGGGAAGGGGTATACAAGAAGAAGCAGAAAAAATGGAATGAGAAAATAATAGGCATAGACGGGTGGGAGGGAAGGGGAATCCAAAAAAGTAGGGTATATGAGTGTGTGAGTTTGAGGTAAAAGGGCAGATTTTAGGCACTGATCTACACACAAACTGGCACTAAAATAAAAACTAGTGAATTAAAACAAAATTAGCTTTTTCAGTGCAAATGTGTGTGTGCAGACACTCTTATTTCAAAATAGGTGGCTAAAGTCAATTTAGCTTAATTTGTTACTAACCTTAGCATGTAGCCATACAAATGTAAGAGGTGTGATAAAGTAAGGATCTAGAACTGTATCTATTCAGAGAGGATTTCTTTCAATAAAACAGTTTTTTACATAGAGAGCATAGGCATGACAATTCTGCCTAAACCCGATGGCTGGCCAACATTAGATGGGGGAAAAACAGACAAGAAAATAGACCAAACACTGGTGGCTTTATACTATATTTTATATGTGCTTACTAAACAAATTTGGTCCAGAAATCACATTGGGAATCAGAGGGGAGGAGAACACCCCCCACATCTACCTTTGCAAGGTCCAGACTCCATATGCAACCAGAACCTTTCTTATTCTGGGGGAGTAGCACCACTATAGTTAAGGTTGAGACTAGCTTAGAGTTTAACACTCAATTTTCAAAGTACTCTAAAATCTATGTGCTTATCCAGGTTGCTTGAAAAGCGCTGTCTCATGAGAGTCTGGAGGAGGTCATTTGAGCAAAGGATTCCTGAGATTCATTTCCTTAAATCAAAATTGTATCTGTCCATCCATGCCCTATACCTGGGATCAAACTATGGCTCTGATCCTCCCTAAACAGGTATCATCCACTCAGAACTGATCTCAGCTAGCGTCCAGCATTTACTGTCCCTTTGGGGAAGCAATATTTAAAAAGTTATTCAGGGTAAAAGTTGGATCTATAATGTGATTTGGGCCAAGTTGACAAACTAGAGAAAGTTATTTGCACCTGTATAGCCGGATGGGGGTTGTGTTGCAAGCCAGTGAGTTTGCAAGCAGCCTGAGATCAGTGAGGGCATCCCTCCATGGTGCAGGGAAACCAACCTTCTTCCTGGGCGGGGGCCCCACTGAAGATTGTCCACCTCCTGATGCCATGGCTGTCACACCTGCCATAGAGCCTAAGCCCGAGCCCGGCATCACAGAGGGCCCCCTTGCCACCCCCCAGACTCCTGAGCCCAACCGAGAGGGGCCACCTCCCAACGGCCCAGTTACTGGGGCCCAGGATCCCGCCTCTGCCCCTCTCTCCAACCCTGTTCCTGACCTAAAAAAAAAAAAACGGTGAGTGGGTGACATTGTGTGGCCACTGAACCTGACTGGCACCCATGTACTGTAAGTTTGAATCCTCACCTGGACAGCTTACTAAGAATATGTATTGTGCATACTAGTTGCTTTCTGCCTGCATTCTGCAGGAGCACCTTCTGGACATCTTGCCTTGAGAGCAAAGCTTCTAACTTACGAGTCAATATTTTGGAGTGCTCTAAAATTCAAATGTATACTCCAGTTTTTCTTTAGAAGTATTGGGAAGGAACATAACATTACCTAAAGAGAAGCTGAAAGACTCTAGGAAGCAGTAGCATTGGGGGAATGAAATCATGCTGCATGCTCTTTACCCTTTTCTTCAACAATGGGCTGGAGATCAAAGAAAAGCAAGTAGCTGTGACTCTCTTCAATGTCAATGTGATTCAAGGGGTATCTGAGCATCAGGAAATGCACCCATAAGAGAGCCCTATTTTAAGGACTGGTTTACTATCAACATTGACAAATGTGTTGGTAGGATGCTGTCATCAGTTGAAACACTAATTTGTTTATCATGAAAAATAAACAGGGATTTTCCCTTCCCCCAATTTTCTACAATAATTCATCCAATCTACACAAAGCAAAGGTTCATACTTATCAATTTCATCCCTCAAAATACTGTGGTTTCTGTGAAAAAGGAGTTTGAAGGGAATGTTAGACACTAGAAAAAGATTAGCCATGTAGCTCCCTTTTAAAACAGTCATAGAAAACATCTAACAATATTTTTCCCTCTACAACCTGCCTTAGAAAAATTAAGCAGTGCTCAAACTACAATAAGGATTTTAAAAGGACATGCTACCGCCAAACCCAGAATTTTTGTAGCTCTTTTCCTCCCGCTAAAATATAAAAGCTGGAGTAACTTTAACTGTGGTGGTACTTCTGCCCCATCATAATATTGCTGTGCCTGGCATAGAGTCAGCAGTGCAAATTGAGGTCATTTGATTAAAGGGTCCCCAGATACAGCTCCCCTAATAAGGAGCTGGCTCTAGTAATCAAAGTGTTCTAAAATCTGCAGGCCCGAGGAGGTTGTCCTGAAAACTGGTATGCTGCAATAGGTCCTAGGAGACTGTGGTGCAAATATGGGTCTTTTAATCTTGGGGCTGTCAATACTATTCCCAAAGGGTGGTGTGTACCTTTGATTTATTTCTTGTTTTTTTTTCCCAGATGGGCAAGTATAGATGCATTCAGTATTCTAGGGCAAGGGGCACTGTGGCTCAATCTTAAATGTTAATGAAATTTTTGGGCATTGATTTGACTAGAATCTAAGCTGTGATTGCCAGTGCACAGTGACTCACCACAGTATCTCCAGGTTGTTTTTGGTCATTAGGAAAGGGATAGATAATAAGACAGAGAATATCATACTGCCTCTATATAAATCCATGGTACACCCACATCTTGAATACTGAGTGCAGATGTGGTCACCCATTTCAAAAAAGATATATGGGAATTGGAAAAGGTACAGGAAAGGGCAACACAAATTATTAGGGGTATGGAACAGCTTCCATATGAGGAGTGATTAATAAAACTGGGACTTTTCAGCTTGGAAAAGAGATGACTAAGGGGGGATAGGATGGAGGTCTATAAAATCATGACAGGTATGGAGAAAGTAGATAAGGAAGTGCTATTTATTCCTTCTCATAACAGAAGAATTATGGGTCACCAAATGAAATTGATAGGTAGCAAGTTTAAAATAAACAAACGGAAGTATTTCTTCTCACAACACTCCTGTGGAACTCCTTGCCAGATGATGTTGTGAAGGCCAAAACACTAACAGATTTAATAAACAACTAGATAAGTTCATGGAAGATAGGTCCATCAATGGCTATTAGCCATGAAGGGCTGGGATGGTGTCCCTAGGTTCTGTTTGCCAGAAGCTGGGAATGGACAACAGAGGATTGACCACTTGAAGATTCCCTGTTCTGTTCATTCACTCTAAAGCACCTGGCATTGGCCACTGTTGGAAGCCAGGATACTGGGCTAGATGGACCATTGGTCTGAGCCAGTATGGCTGTTCTTATGTTATTCTGGCAAGAAATCTCCTCTCCCAACCCACCTGTTTTGAAAGTGATCAAGTTATCTCATGATTTATGCTGTCAGAACAGATTTAGACCCTTCCCCCCCTTGGAGACAATGTAAGATGAAACAGCTGTTTCAGGAGAGGAGGGGAATCGAGATGCAGATGGCCTCTTTCCATCCTAAAATGGCTTTGATAATTGTTGCAGGCAGAAACAATGTCTCCAAATACATTTTCCATTACAAATGAGAAAGACCCAGTGCAGGACCCTTTGTTCAGCTGTGCCTGTCGTAGCTCCTTCTAAAAGGCCAAAATGGGCTGTAAGGGGGATGTCTTGGAAAGAGCAGTCCTGCCCTACAGCTGTAGGAGTTTTCTGAGCTGCAGGCTCTTGTTGATCTGTTTGTAGCTGTACACTCATCCTCGACAGGAGCAGCTGGATTGCCTCTACCGGCAAACCACCTGCCTTGCGTGGGCAGAAGTTGGTGTTTTGATAAATACTTTGGCCCGGGGTGACAAGGAAGCCAGACGTGGGGCTACGGATTCGGGGCGCGCTGTTCCCCAAGACAATACACCGCTCTGCCTGCAGGCGGGGGAGGGAGAGACCCGCGGCGCTCGCCTCTTACCTGGAGGCCAAGGGGGGAGGCGCCGCCGCCCTCCCCAGCCCTGTGCGGCGCCTGGTTCACACCCCCTGCCCGCCTGCCTTGCAGAGAGTCCGCCGGGGGCCCCGCCGCCAGGAGCCCGGCGCCGCTCGTCCTCTCCATTGTGCGGCCGGCGGCGGAGCGGAGAGGCGAGCGCCCTGCCCACCCCGCCCTGTCCCCGGCTGAACCGGCCAGAGGAGCCCCCCGCCCGCATCTAGCTGCTCCTCCCTCCCCGCTTCGCCTCCCTGCCACAGCGAGGCTGCCGCTGCCAGAGGAGCCGCCGAGTTCCCCCGGAGAGAGGGGGAGGAGGAGGGGGCGCCGCCGCCGCCGCCTCGCACTGCAATGTGCCGCCCGCCGCAGCCGTGAGGAGCCGGGTGCGCGCGGGAACCATGCCGGGCTGGAAGAAGAACATCCCCACCTGCCTGCAAGCCGAGCCGGAGCGAGGTGAGCCCGCGGTGGCGGCGGGCTGGGACCGGCGCCTTCGGCAAGGCAAGGGCGGGGGCTGCCATGCCGCCGGGGCCTCCTGCTCTGCCTCCTTCCCCGGCCGGCAGCCGCAGAGACCGGGCTCCGCCGGTTTGCTGCCTGGGCGGGTGTTGGGGGAGGGAGCGGAGAGCTGCTCCGGGAGCCGGGCACAAAGGGGGAGCGGGGGAGTGACAGGCATGGAGCCGCACCGGGCACGTTTCCCTGCTGCTGGCTGCTAACTTTCCCGGCCGGGGCAGCGCGCCAGCTCCCGGATTTGTGGCTTCTCCCTCGGGCCTCCCCCTCCGGCTGGCTGTGAGCCCGGGGGGGCTCGCTGTCTCGCAGAGAGGCTTTGCAAACTTTCCTCGGGCTCTCTGGAGCCCGACCCCTGGCTGGCCCTGCGCGGGGGGGATTACAAAATTGCCGAGGCGGTGTGATCAAGGAGAAACCCGGGAGGGGAGGGGGCTGTAGATGGTATGTGTGAAATTCAATATCGGAGTGCTTTTGTAAAGGATGGGCCTGATTCGCTTCTTACTTATACCAGGGTAAATCGGCAGTAATCTCCTTAAGGTAATGGCATTACACTGGTGTAAACGGGGAAAATCCGGTTCAATGGGTGTAAAACTTTAATGCAATCCTATTGGTAAAAGTTGCTGCAGTTTTCAGTCTCTCAGTGGAGTTGCATAGGTACTGGATTGCAATTTTTACATGTCTACACGCAGAAAGTTGCACCAATGGAACAGTATCTTCATGTAACTCTTGAGAATGTTTGCAGAGTACTTGGCTTATTTTTGCGGTGTCTTGCAGGTCACGCATTTTATAAATTGCCATTCAGGAAGGTAAATTATAGGGTAACTTTTAAAGTGAAGCCTTTACCTGCTTTTGTGCAAACAGCGGCCTTTTTATTCATGATCCTTACTGGTGATCGATGTTTGTAACTTCTAGATTCTTAGCTGAACTTAAATTACAGATCGCACCTAGCTCTCGAGGAATGTGTGGAAGTGGCTAGGAGGAGTGGGTCTAAAGGACTGGTCCTTGGAAGTTGTCAGAATTGCAGGACTTCAAAACTGTAAATTCTGAAACTGGGAAAAAATCCGGCAATTTACTTTCAGAGGGAATGATGGCATCTTAAGTATTCATACAGTTTTAATAGCATTGGGGAAAACAAATGCAAATCCCATTCAGAAAACTCTAAGGAGATCAACAAGGGATTGTAGCAACATTCTTAAATAAAACCTTATAGTGCAGGATTATTTGCTTAAAGTTAAATCCTGTTACAAAATGATGGATCTGATGTTTTCTGGTCACTTTTCAAAACCAGCAATGCTTTGATTTCATTTTATGTGGAATAAAACAGCAACTTTGTCATTGTAACTGCAAAAACAAGTTCTGTCACCAGGGATTACTTTGTCACTGTTTCATGGAAGGATTATGTGTATGCAGAAAAAAATCCAGTAAAACATTAACATTTGGGAATTTTAGACTGCACTTATTCCATTATTATATGTAAAAAGTTGTATGTTATACCACTTGTTAATCAACTTTCAATGTACAGTCGCATATACTCCTCTAGATGGTAGAGAAGGTCTTTGGTTTGCCTATAGACTAATGAGCCAGGGAATTTATTTCTTTTGACTGTTTTCTTATTGGATATATCTATGTATTGCTAAGAACAAACCAAGAAAATATTCAAAGTGAGATTGCTTGATCTGCTCTAAGGAAGAGACTTCTGGTCTCAGGCTGGATATTGAAGCCTGTTTCAGAAGTGTTGTGTGTGTTGTAAGTCACTAAAGTAGTGAAGATTACAATGTATGGTAATTAAAAAGGATAATTGAAATGTTAGTTTCTCATTGTTGAAATGAATACTAAGTATTTTCTTACATTACGTTAATATAATTATTACAGGTGTATGCTAAACTCTAGATATTTTTGACATGAGTAAACGTGTTGTGTTCTGGAAAAACACAGAAATGAGTAGGTGACTGAACTGTCACAATATGCTAGCTGTTTCTTAGAAATGTGGGAACTTTCAAAGATGATCTAATCTGTGTATTGCAGAGATAGTGAAAGCAAAAAATCCTTTGTACTTAAAAAAATCAGTCAGGAATGGGTGTTGTGCTTTCTGCCTTAAATTTTTTTAGTAGTGTGCACAATTACTATTATCTCTTTTTTAACTTTCTTTCTAAATCAGCTAAGATGCTGATTTGTAAACCGTTCATATCCTTGTTCATATTTTCTATGTAGTATCTTTTATTTTCATTATGACGCTGAACAAATTAAAATTTAGAAACTCTTATCATTGATGCTTTTGTTTTGTATTTTATTTTCATAGGGTAAATAAAGCTCTTCAGAACCTACAGTAAATGGTTTATTTCTGATGTATGTTTCATTGTATATTGCTCAAGCTTAGCTAATTAATTTACCAGAATTTCAGTGCTACTTAGAATTTGATCATATTTTTCTTTTTTGGAATTCAGGAAAACATAAAGTGATCAAAATAAGTAATCATTGTTGAAGCAGGTTGTCCTTGAACCTGAATGGTAGAGTAGATTAGATAAACCTTTCAAACTGGCCAGAAAAATGGCCAGTGTAGTATAATGAAATGAAATCAGATGCATCTCTAGCTAATGTGGCAGTTTGGTATGGCATTGACTTAAAAGGCAATTACAAATACAGTTAAATTCTGGTTTAGGGCCAGTTGTGCTATGCTGTTTTCAGACATTTTTATTCAGATAGCCTACAATCCATTTATATATACTTCATGTTAGTATAATTTTTTTGTATATAAGCTATTTATTCTAACCTAATATCACAACCATCTTTTACATCCAAATTAACAAAAAATTACAGAATAAAATAGAATTTCATATTAACTCTTAAGGAATAATTCATAAATACATATGTACTTTATTTTGAAATTGTATTATATATGTTCCTGGATGTACGGGGGTTTGTTGCGGGGGGAGGGGGGCTTCCGGGTGCAGGGGCAATGGGACTCCACAAGGGATCCAGGTGAAGGTGATTTGGGGCTCAGCAGGGGGGATCTGGGTGTGGGGGACTCAGTGGGGGGGGTCCAGGTGCTGGGGGAGTGGGGCTTGATGGGGTGGCGGTCCAGGTGCAGCTGGTTGGGGCTCCGTGGGGTGGGAGTCTGGGTGTGGGGTCTTGTCGGGGGCATGGGGGGGTCCAGGTGTTGGGAGGTAGGGCTTGTCAGGGTGAGGGTTCGATGGGCCTGCTTAGTGGGGGAGTCCCAGCTGCTGCCAAGAGGACTGTGCATGCTGCGCTCCTGCTTCCCCCCACGATTCCCCTCTCCCCTTTTCTCCCCCATCTCATCCCCCTCCGCCACGACCCCCATTCCCTCCCCTCACTCCCACATTTCCCTCCCCCGGCCCTATTCCATCCTCCCTTCCTTCCCATCTGCCTCTTCTCCCCACTCCCTCACCCCTCTTTCTTCATTTCCCCTGCCCCCTCCTTACCCAGCCCCACCGTGGGCACTCACTGTGGCACAGAAAACAGGAAGGCTCCCAGCACACAGAAGGGGAGCACGACTGGCACTAGGACCCCGCGTTCAAGAGGCCGTGTTCAACTACAGAATCAGGGGAGCCGAGACACAGCCTCCTTCAGCTGGGCAGCTCTGTGCTGGCAGAAATGGGGCGGGGGGGCAGTGGCACATAACCCTGTGTCTCCCCATGCCTCACCTCTGTTTGGGGGAGAGCAATGCCCTCACAAACTGTGCCCATGGCCACATGGCTTCCCTGTCCTTTTCTACAAAGAAGCACAGGAATTCTGCGGAGGGTATTTTCTGTGGGCACGCAGTCCTGCAGAATTTCCCCAGGAGTATGGTGTGTGAGCCCCAGTGGAATTCTCAAATTAGGCATTCCCCATCTATCTTGCCTGCAGGGCCCAATCCAGGCATTCTTAGAGCATGCCTAATCCAAAGAGAGAAGGAAGTAGCGGTGGTCCACTTATGAGCTATAGCCCAGTGGTTAGAGCACTCACCAGGGATGTTTCAGAGTAACAGCCGTGTTAGTCTGTATTTGCAAAAAGAAAAGGAGTACTTAGTCTCTGAGGTGCCACAAGTACTCCTTTTCTTTTCACCTGGGATGTGTGCAACCCAAGTTCAAATTCCTGCTCTGCCTGTTTTGGAGCAGGGACTTGAAGCTGTGTCTCCTGTCTCTTAGATAAGTGGCCTAACCACTGCTTTACAAGTAGTTTGGGGTACGTCTCTCTCAATCTCTCATGTTGTAGTTGTTCCTCTCTGTAGGAAATACGTAAATGTTAATTGGACCAGAGAGAGAGTGAGAAATAACTCTAGCCACGTGGTTAGCACACTCTCTCTTTTTCTGGTCCAGTGAATATTTAAGTATTTCCTACAGAGTGGAACAACTTCAATAGGAAAGACTGAGAGAGACCCATCCTACAATACCCTATATCCCCATGGTTAGGCCACTCACTCAGGTTCAGATCCCACTTCCAAATCAGGCAGAATGGGGATTTGAACCCAGGTCTCTCACATCCCTAGTAAGTGCTAACCGCTGAGCTGGGGGTGTACGGGCATCGTGACCACAACCACCTCCCCCTGCTTTTTTTTTTTTTTTTTTTTTTGCAAGAACGGGGTGACCTGGCTTAGGCATCTAATTGTAGGAGACGATTCATGGCTGTAAATCTGAAGGAGAGATAAGTACATAACTACCTTTGTGGGGCAGGGCTCCTCACCGTTTCCTACTGGTTACCTTAGACAGGTCCCTACTCAGTGTACTGACGTCTGAGAGTCCCATTCTTAGGCACCTAACTCTCCGTATGCATTGTATATGGAGACTGGGTGTCTTAAGTCAGAGATGAGGATTCCACTGGATGGCAGGGCACCTAAAGTCAGGCATTTAAAGACTGAGCCTAAGTCTCTCCTCCTCCTTTCTTGGCTCTAGCCCTTATGTTTGTTTCTGCCCCAGTTATCTATTTGTAAAATGGGGATAATACTTCCTTTCTCATAGATTCAAGTGTCAGGAGGGACCATTGTGATCACCCAGTCTGACCTGTATAAAATAGAACTTCCCAAAATAATTCCTAGAGCATAGCTGTTTAGAAAAGCATCCAGTTTTGATTTAAAAATTATCAGTGATGGAGCATCCACTGTCTTGTCTATTCAGAGTATAAAATCATTGGGCTAGGGACTGTCTCACAAGAACATAAGGATGGCCAAACTAGGGCAGACCAATG